GGATGAGGCAGTTCCCGTTGTTCGAACGATAAGTCCAATTCCAACGGTTAATGTCGCTCCCTCCGTACTAATCCATCCGCGTCTCCTTACGCTTCCTTAGGTCTGGCGGAACACCTCCAACTCCAGTCCAAGCCTCAACACGCCGACAGTTGGGCACTCGACAACCCGATCTTCCCGAAGGCCAAGATGGCCGACGTTATTGCAGCGCTTCCCAAGTACAACAAGGAGCGCCTCCCTCTTGACAAGAAGGGTGTCTACTTCACTTTGTTGTTCGGGACTTGATGGATTTGTTGGCGGTTACCCCAGCTGTGGTACGCCTTTTATTCCTTATCTTTTTCTTGCTTCAGCCGCTAGTTTCGTAGCTAACTTCTTCTAGGATGGACCCCGCTGCACCTCCTGCCTCAGCTGTGGCAGCTTCTGCGACTCGGTCGGCTTCCCACTGCAGTGCGAGCAATGCCGCGCCCGCCATGGCGCCCACAGTTGCAACCTCGCTTTCAGCGACGAGCTCAACAACGACCTCGCGACGGACCTCAAGTTGTGAGTCGAGATGTCCAGCGGGAGTACGTCTTTATTTTGTAAATTTCCAACCAACGGCCACCGCTCACGCCCTTTTTCCAGATTGGAGGGACCAGATGCGGGAGCTCGAAGCTTCGAGCCTCCAGGTGGAGATGGCAGACCGCGCAAGACAACTCGCGCTCAATAACCACCACTTCAACATCTTGCAGCTTCTTCACGCGATCGTCTGTGCCCGCCGTTCCATCACCTGCCAGGAGTTCGTGTCTCATTTCGCTGGTGACACGCCCGAGATGCAGGACTTCAACGGGGAGTACTTCCTCCGGCTGGCCATGCTGCAAGGGGTCCGGGCCGACGTCGAGGTCACCCGCGAATGGTCGTGGCACTTCTATCGGCCGATGGATCTCGCGAAGCCCATCCCCGCGTTTGGTTCCGCTTACGACTTCTACAATGCCCTTGAGGACACGACGAACCCCCAGCGGCCGCTTGCATTCTACATGGTCCCAGCCAACCCGGAGGCCGATATTCCACCGGTGTGGGTCCCTCTCGAGGTACGTCTTGAGTTTTCTTTCACTTCTTATTTCTGTTTTCTAATCTCTGATCGGAACTTCAACTTAGGTTGACGATTTCGAAGTCACCATCAGCGGTGGCACCAAGATTTCGTGTGGCACCAACGGCAAGAGGGTCCGGGACCGCTTCTACCAAAAGATGTTCACTGCACTTGGCGTCAAAATTCCCGAGCACCTCCTGCTCATGGACAACGAGGCTTCCGGCCGGATCCCTTCTCTCGAGGAACTCGGCCATCTGGGCAGCTTGTACTCGTTCGACGTGCCGCCCATCGGGAGTTACACCGGGAAGATCGCGAAGACTCCACCCGCTGGTCCATCTTCTTCGAAAACGGCGACCTCTTCGAGGGTCTGACTCGCTCCTTCTCCGCTCCCCGAGAGTCCACCCGCTCCTCTCGAATCCGACGAACCCAAGGGCGGTAGCGGCTCGGAGGAAGGTTCAGACACTCCTGCTCGAAAGAGCCGCCGGTTGAAGCCTCCAATGGAGGAGTTCTCCGATGTTGGATCCCAGCCCGCTGATCAGCAAGACGACGGCCAGGACTTCGACATGGCGGACGCTGACGGAGAGGGGGACGAAGACGACCTCGACTTGTCGACGATGCTTGGAGGGACGGGCGGTCTGGTGTTCGACGACGTCTCCCCGCTCGATGCTGCACTCTCTGGGAAGAAGTCGGCCGCATGAAGGGGGAGGAAGTGTTATCGCGCCGCCTGCCAGGGGCCATCAAAAAATTTCTTTTTCATACGTATCAGAAGCAGCGCTCATCGTGTCTTGCAGCGGGGAAGGACCCGCAGGACACGCAATTTTTAGAAGGACTCATAAAAGAAAAAGTAGCAATTTCGTATAGTGCCCGTACTTAGACTTAATTCGTAGTCTTTAGTAGCATGTAGATAATCGCAAATGGCAAAGCTGCCAATTCGTTCATCCAGCGGGAACTTGAGTCGCACTTCTTCAAGCCCGTCCTAGAACGGCTGTTCTTCCAGCGGTCGGATCAAAATCCGACATCTAATCTCCAACCGTGTGATAAAGTCATTTGAGGGACTCGGTGATCAACGGCCGTTACTGGCCCCAAACCAAATGCGGTTAACCAAGCCCCTTAAAAGTTCGTCTGGCGGGGCGTAGATCCCCTTCATGGATGACTTCTCGGACGCAGGTCACCTTCAGCCTGGTGCGTGGCGGATTAATCTCAATCTTTATCCTGCCTCGAGCCGGACTTTAATCTCTCATTTGTACATGGTGGTGAGTTCAGCCCAACAGAGTCACTTTCACTGACAGCTAATCTTCTGCTCACTTCACCGCCAGCCCGATCTTGTCTGCTCCCGCTGCGCTGAAGAGCGATGCCCTTGCGAATTCTGCGGTGGGGTGCTCATTGCGAATTCTGCCGTAGCAACGGCTACACAACGTGCACCTTCCTTCGACAAGACTGGTGGTGGTTTGCTCTTCCGCCAGAAGACGGAGTGGATGCTTACGAAGTTATCTATCGTGCGCTACACTTCTTTTCCGGGTCTTCTCATGGGGGCTAACAGCCGCTACTCAGCTCTGGAGTTTTCTGAGCTCTGGCACTACCTCGCCACGCACGATGTTCAGCCATGGATGTTCGAGGACAGTGGTTCCGATGGTGGCCCCGCTGGGTTTCTGCATGCCCAGACGCAGTATCTCTGCCAGATCTACGACTTCAGCCTTCTCCACCATCTCGCTGAAGCTTATCAGATCGAGCGGCGGTTCTTCATGTATAACATTGCCTGCCAGGTAGCCTTGGATATCGAGCTTAGGTAGCCCAATGTCGACGACTTTTCCCCGTCCGTGGAGCAGGCCGCTGCTCAAGACAATATTGTCCGGCGGTCGTGGCCCTTCCCTATCGTTAGGACGTGGTTTGATCGGTAGTAGCACATGTTCATCAATATTTTATGAATTTCAATTCCTCCCGCCTGTAATATCTGGCGGGAGCTTCTATATCGGGACTTGTGTCGGATTGGATCATGAATCCTCAAGCGAAGACCATAAATTGGGCTGCCCTCGAGTTCTTTCCAACCGGACATGAGTAGCGTTCATCCACCCACCAGGGAGGTCCAAATCGACTTCACCGACTTTCCAACCGCGTCCCAGGATTTGGTCAGGAGATTGTACACCACTGTGAGTTTCCTCTGGCAGCTACACATTTCCCTTACGAGCCACTCGACAGCCCAACATCGTTTGTCACAACTGCGTCAAGCGAGGTTACGCTTGCCGGTTTACCCGTTGGTCTAAACGCTGCGATCACTGCCGGGAGGACGGAGGTATCCCTTGCCTTTTTCAAGACTTGCGATGGTGGAAACACGAAAACCCCTACTCCTTGTTCGTAAGCTTCCCGTACGATCATCGTGAGTCTCGACATCATCTTTCAATTCTGTCATACTGACACTCAGCCGCCACCAGCCTGGGAGTTCGAGGAACTTTGGTACCAGCTGTCTCGCCGCGACCTTCGTCCTGACCATTTCTCCACTGTCAGCAGGCATCCTTCTGGGGATGATTCAGCAGGAGACCGAGTTCCTCCGGAACATCGGTGACCACCGAATTTTGACCGCCTTGGCTCGGACATATATTCTTCAGGGACGTCGTTTCATGCAGAAAACCACGATACTCTTTAGAGACTCTGTCCGGGTTCCGTCGGGAATCCACCCGCCGGACCCTATCGAGGACCCTGAAACAGTGTGTATCCATGCACGAGAGTAGTATTACAGATCTTCTTGTTCTTGTGATATTTAGAACAGTTCGATCACCCTTTGAAATTCCCTTTTTCGCTCGATCAGAATTATTTCGGCAACAAAAGCTGAAGTAGTGGGAGGTTTCACCGGTGGCCAGTCAAATTTTAACTAGCGGTCGCTGGTGCGCCCTCCACGAAGATCTTCAGGTGACGCGAGAACCCCTATCGGTGGTACTGCTCTTCTTTCATCCTGTAGCGGGTGCTTACTGCGCACGCTTCTGTTATCTGAAACTATCGTCAGGCTTCCCCTGTCCAGTTCCATCTTTCGCAACTGACTCCGGGGTCCCATCGATCGTCTTTTCTCAAACTTCCACATGGACTTCTTCTTACTGGTGGGCAGACGACTTTTTCAAAGATCTGACACCCCGTTCTTAAGGTGTAACCATGAAGGGTCCTTCCCTGCGCTACCCACTAAGGTCTCCTCCCGCTATGCCGGTCGTAATGTTCACTCCCGACCCAGGCACTCGTGTGGATGGGCCATTCACCATGATTCGAGGGCACTACGTGAGATTCTCCTAGCGGGAGCTACCCGTCTCAAAGACTTTTTCCACTCATCTATCGTGTTTTTCTTCAGCCCGCATCGGCCTGTGCCTTCTGTCTGGCTGTCGGGCGGCCGTGCGCCTTCATTCAATGGGCTCAGGGATGTCTCCGCTGCATGCTGCTCAAATTACAGGATTGCTGTTACCGCGATCCCACTCAATGGCTCACTCAGTGGGACCGCCGCCGCACACTTCTGGGTCAACTCCGTCCACGTACGTCAGGCTGTCCTCTAGCGGGAGATCCCTTTGCTAAATCCCAGCTGTTTCTACCAGCCGTTAATCCAGCTCAGCTAATGCAGCTCGATGCATATGCTGCCGCTGTTCCCGATGTCTTCCAGCGGATCCTTACGTTCAACATTGACCTCGAGGAGGACGATACCATCCGTCTGTTGCTCCGGATGCACGACGATATATGTGTGATCTTTTCGCTGCTTCAAGACTGCCTTCATCACAACCGGCCACAATGTCTCGTCGGACTCATTCGCGAGCGGCTGGACATTGTAACCTTCGACCAGAAGAGGTCTCTCCCCGACACTATGCTTATTTAGAAGTAGATATCAAACTTCTTTGTAGCGCCAGCGGGACTGTCAATCCGATATTTCTAAGCGTCATGTAGCGCCTTCTTTTTAGAGAGTAGTCATGGCCTCGTTGTCTAGTGGTTAAGACGCCCTCTATTCCCTTAATAGGGAGACCTTGGTTCGAATCCAGGCGAGGTCCTTCTACCTCTTGGCATGCGGTATGACTTATCATGCCGTTTGCCAAGGGGTGGAATTCCCTTTTTAGGCATAGATGGTTCGAGGTTACGTCACATCCTTTTCTGGACAGATCCCAGATCTGGGATCATCCCTCCCCCTTTCTGAAATTTCAACTGTCCCCAGTTGACCGCATGCATCGGCTGCCAGAAAAAATATTCCGGGTCTAGGGTTCCATGGAAGCAACACGTTCGTGTGATATCGTTCCATGGAGGTAAAAATTCTTTTGTGTTGGAGCAGCGGGACATCCGTTCCTCTGGGTCCTACTCCCAGCGGGTTTATCAAGCAGGTGCCAGGTTATAAAAGAGCAGCGGGGGCACTCGATTCCCTTGCCTTTACTCCACGCTCTTTTGATACCTATCCCTAATGTCGAAAGCCGATTTCGACTCTGTCAAGGCTGACTTCCTTAAGGAACTTGATACCGCCCAGACTCTGGCCAAGTTTCAAGCACCTACGGAGGCCCGCCAGAAGCAGATGGCCGATATCGGTAACTGCGCCGTTCGTATCTTCCTTCTTTATTTCCTCAGCCGCTGGTCAGACACTTTCCCAGAGTCGCCTCTCCAACCTTCACTCTTTCATTCTCGAGGATGGTCAGGAGATCCTCTGGGAGGGCATCTTCACTGCGCGGGGGCTCTATCACTCGTCGTTTAATCCTGACAACGTGAAGAGCTTCTCTTATCCCACCAGGTACAACATGGTCGTTCGTTACGCCCGGCTCATCCACGAGGATCGCGCGAAGAAGGCCCCTCCCCCTCCGCCTGTTACCACTGTTAAGGGGTCTGCTTCCAAGGTGAGGCTCATTCTCCCGCTGCTCAATCCTTCGTTTTAATTGTCGTTTGGCGGCCGGTAGAAGACTCGCTCCAGTAGCAAGAAGATCTCCGGGACCGTCGAGGAGTCCGATGATGAAGTCAATGTCATCGTTGGTGCCTCCGCCGGCCAGTCTCAACCTGCCGTTTCTGACGAGGTATTTCTCTTCTCATTACAGCTCGCTTCAGCGTGCACAACCGTATCTGACCAATTTCTTTTGCAATTCCGCAAGATGGTTGTTGATGATGATGCTAAGGCTGCTCCTGGAAAGGCTTCCAAGGACGGCTGACGCGCTGTGAGTTGCCCTAATCTCCTATATTTTCTTCTCGTCTGACTAGCCGCCAGACGCTTCCTTCCTTCACCAAGAAGACCAAGGGTAACAAGCGCGCCCGGGTGGACAGCAATCCTCAGTTCCATGAAGATTCCTTCCTTACTTCCGGTTCGTCCCCCGCTGTTACTTGGAATCTCCTTCGCATCTAATGACTGTCTTTCAGCTACCACTGAATTTTATAACTCGGCGAATGTCCAGGCGGTCACCGACAAGGCCTCCAGCATAGTGGAAATGTCTTCCGACTTCGAGGAGAACCCACTAGCCATGCGCAAGCGCATGTACTTCATCATGGTGGAGATGGCCGTTATTCACGAGCAGCTCCGTAGCCACTTGGTCCGGCGGTCGCAGCTTATTGGCGAGGGTGAAACTCTGCGTGAGCGGTTGACCACATTCCCCATCAGTGTCGCTACTGGTGTCGACTCCATGGTGCCTTTGGGTGCCCGCTAGGTGTCTCCCCCTTTCCGAATCTTCTTGACCCGACACTTAGTTTCATATAGTATCGCGCCCTTCTGGACTAGTAGCTACTTGATATCTGTAGCCGCTAGTATCCCAGTCGCTGTATCCCTTGTTCTTCCGCTAGATATCACAGCGAGGAGCGAATACAATCCTACTGGTTTTGCTTCTTCTGACAGGCAGAGGCTCTAGTGCAGGGCAGGCGAACCTCGTCCTCACTTTCTGAGCTCTCATCGCTATCGGGTTCCGACTCATCAGACTCCGGAGGTGGCTCTCGGTAGTCATTAGAGTTGAGCCGGACATTTTCAAATTGGAAATCACGCCCCTGATAGAGATCCTCTCCTTCATCATTAATCATCTCGTTCAGTGTTTCGGCCGACAGATCAATTAAATCGTGTATGTTCTCGGGGAGTGTCACCGATTTTCTCTGCTCGAATGGCACCACCCGGAACTGGGCGATCTTTGACTGAAACACTGAGCCATCCATTTCCGCAACGATGTAGCTCCCGCCCTTAGTCCTTCTTATGACTATTACTGGGCCGAAGTATCGGGTAAGCATCTTTGTATTTAGAGACTTCTCGATAATTGTGTTCCGCACCAGGACTAGATCTCCCGGCTGGAAGTCATAGTCCTTTATGGTGTGTGCGTGGACTTCTTCTTATCGCTTCATGGCGGCCCTTTTCTCATCGGTTACCCGCTCTCTCATGCGCTCAACATGTGTGAAGTGTTTTGCTAGGGACTGCGCCCGGTACCCGATTAATTCCGCTCGCGTCAAGGGCCTCCCCGGAAGTTCAACAAGCCAAGTCGCTTCTTGAATATCCAGCGGGAGGACCGGATGCGCTCCTGTCACCATGAAGAACGGAGAATAACCTGTTCCCTGCCGGACAGTGGAACAATCCGCCCATAACATTTGTGGAAAGAACCAGAACCATCTGTTGGGGTTCCCGCCAGTTGCTTTATGCAGGATCTGCCTCATCGGGAAGTGCCCATTGTCTATCTTGCCGTTTGCTTGAGAGTTGTACGGGGAGACTCTAATGCCTCTTACCCCATACTTCGCCTCCAAGTATGCGACCACTGCTAGAAATGCTGGTGCGTTGTCCGTTAAAAATTCTACATGGCAGCCGTGCCAGCAGATAATCTCTTCTAGAATGAACATTGCCAACATGCGGGCGTTCTCATTCTTTATTGGCCGCCCTTCGAGCCAACTCGATAGGGCGCATCTAGCATCGACAATTTTGTTGAAGCCGTTGGACATCGTCCCAGCGGTCATAACATCTATGTGCCATACTTGAAACAGTGACGGCATATAGGTTACTACCAGCGGGATACATAGCAAGGTTTTCTGCTGCAACTGACAGACTTCACAGGTCTTGACGTACCAGTGAACGTCGCGTTCGAACTCCGGCCACCAGAACCTTAGCGCTAGTAGGGACCTCGTCGCGTACGCTCCCCGGTGACACAGACTGTAATGGGCCGCCCGCATTATATACATGCGATGCTCCTTATCCACGACCAACTGGTGAGCAGACCCCTCCACTACTTTTCTGTAGCAGCGGCCCTTCCCGTCGGGAAAGAAATGACCAGCGAACCTCATAAAATTCAGGTATTGCTTATCATCCATTCCAGCGGGGCGGACACTCGGGTTCTTCCACCATTCACGCAGTACTAGAAGCCGCTCGTCGGCATTCTTTCCAGCGTTCGTCCGACGCTCCTCAGGATATGGCTCCCGCTTCTCGGGGTCATACTTCAATTCTGAAGCGGGAAGTAGCAGCTCACCATCTGGTCTCGGACCAGGTTTCGCTTTCTTCTTCTTCTTCTTTGTCTGAGCTAAGACCTCCAATACCTCTGGCGGCTGGTAGGTCCCTTCACTTCGTATTTTACTCAAGAATCCGGAGAGAACTTCTGTGAAGTCTTCAGGACCTTCTGCTTCCAAGCCCGACAACCCGCTGTAGTAATAACCGCCGTGTGTGTCTATACCATGCTTGAAATCCTCAAACTCCCTGATTGGCGGCCATGCTGCACTATCGGCGTGGAATTTGGGAGGCTCATTATTGTCGAAATCCTCTTCAGGGTCCGGGTACACAGGGTCTCCAGGTTGGATCTCCCGGCGAGAGAGTCCATCAGGCCCGAAGGTCTTTCCCGGTACGTGTTTCAGAGTGAAGTGGAACATGAGAATCTCCCCTATCCAGCGGTTGATAGTGGCGTTAGGCCCCATCCCCGGGTGGTCGAGCATCCCTTTCAAGTACTGCGCGTCAGTCTCGACAACCAGGTTGCGGCAGCCAAGCAGCCAATACTGCATGGCGTCCAGTGCCCTCTTTAATCCAAAGAGTTCACGCTTCGGTTGTGAGTAACTCGCCTCCCGTTCGTTCAACGGTAAGGAGTGGAACTTCGCATAATATTTCTTTTTCGGATCGACGGGGTCACACTGGTATATGTGCAACCCAGCAGCGATGTAGGATGTATCAACCGCCAGTACCACCGGTGTCGGCCATTCGGGATTGACTGGCTTCAGTGCCGGGCAGCTGCGCAGTGCATCCTTTAACGCTTGCATCGACGCTTCTTGTTTCGGACCCCACTCCCATTCAACCTCCTTCCTGGTGAGTTTCTGGATGGGCTCAGCCTTGACCGAGAAGTCTTGTATAAACATTCTCATGACCCCGACGGTACCTAGGAAGGCACGTACGCCGGGTACATCTTTCAGCGGGCCCCATCTTTCTATCACACCAATCCGGTCATCGTCCGGCTTCATGCCTTCGTAAGAGCACACATGCCCGACCACTTTAAAAGTGTCTCTGCAAATCTGCAACTTCTTCCCGGAGACAGTTCCGCCGGCGTAAGCCAAATGGGTGAGGATCCCATTACAATCCACCAAATGTCCCCAAACAAATCTTCTAATCTGTGGGTTTTCTGGTATAGTCTTGTACAAGCTGTCTGGCTGTTCATAATGTGTCGGCGGACCTCTGACCGGTGCATCATCGATATACAGGCGGGTGAAGTCCGGTATCTCGTCCTGGAGGATGTATGCGACATCATCGTGAAATATGGGAACCGAGTTTGTCCAACCCTGCGGTAGACGTACTAACCGCAGAGCTCCGAATGGCGTCTGGAAAGTCGTATAGTCCCGCAAGTCTGGGTGTATCAACCGGTGGTTGTACCCAGAATATAGGTCGAACATAGATCCACAAGACCGCCCGGTGAAATGCTCAGCCAAGTCTGAGGCTCCCGGAGGAACCCCTGAGTGGGCTATGGTTACAGCGTTCAGCAGCTCTAGTGAGTGGACCAATTGAATCGACTTTTTGTCACTCTTCAGGACTCCGAAGTACTTTGTGCGGTACGACCCGTGAGACGGTTCGTATATGTCTGCCGCTATACTT